CCCCATGGTCATGTGATTTACATTCAGATGCTTGACAACTGACTCACATTTATGACCCAGTGTCCCCTTTTGCGACCTTCTGACAAGCAAAGTCAATAGGGAAGCCAGGTTCACTTAACAACCATGTTACTGATTCACTTAACAAATGTGGCAAGAAAAGTCATAAAATGGGGGCAAAAGTCACTTAGCAAATGTTTCCCTTAACAACATAAATTTTGGGCTCAATTTTGGTCGTAAGTTGAGGACTACCTGTATAGGATTGCTGGGTATAATCAGGATAATTGGCAGCCAGTTTGTTCTAATATTTAAGGCCACCAGGCTGGAAAGTCAGAGAATTTGAATTCAAATGCTGCCTTAGGCATGAAAGCTGGCTGGGTGATTTTGCATCAGTCCTCTCTCAGCCAAGCCACCTCACAGGGTTGTTGTGGTAGTGAGGAGGAAGGTGTGTAGAATGTGTTGGCCCCCTTGAATTATTTGTAAAAATAATAAGGGTAGAATATAAATGAATAAAATAATATTTTAAAGGGAAGTGGTTGGAACTTTTTAAAAGGAAGAGTCCTATCTGCTTTTTAAAGTTTCTTTCCTATTTTTGTGGTTGACTTTGTATTGCTTTTATATTTTAATGTTAATATTAATGATTTTAACCTATTAATGATTTCCATTCTCTTTTTTATCTGGTAAGCTGCCTAGAACACCTGATAGCCAGGTGGGCAGGATAGAAATTTAATACATAAATAATGGCTTCCAGACTCACAGCTGCATAAATCTAACATAAAACATCTGTAGGCTACCAATGTATTTACTTTCCAAACCCTATAAAAATATGAAAGTTCTACAAAATCCCACCATTTAAAGGTATTAAATTACTTATGATTTTTAATATTTTTAAAAAACTGCCTACGTATATGGTTCATATGATCGTAAAAGGCTTTGAGCAGCTTACAAACGAGACGAAAAGGAGGGGAGGAAAGCTGCATATGAACCTCGCGATGAATGGCCGAGGCAACAGCCCTCTCTTATTTTTTCTTATCTCTACGTTATCGCCATGCCTCCAACGATTGGTCGTTTCCAACTCTATCCCGGCCGCTCGAGCGGACGGGCCCATTTGGTGGCGAGGGAACCACAGAGACGCGTCTTCCTCGCGGGCGCAGAGCGCCGCGCCTGCGCAGTAGCGGGATAGAGAACCATGCGTGCTCTCCCGGCCAGGCGATAAAATGTAGAGGGCAGCGGGGTGAACCGATGCTGAAGCTGCAAGGGACGCTGCTGTGGGGCAAAGGTCAGTGTGGGGGGCATGTGGGGCGGGGGGTGGGTGGGAAGTAGCGAACCTTTCGCCTCGATCTGGATCTTTGGGGAAGAAGGGTGCTTTGCCCTACTGGAGGTGGGTGGATTTGAACTCGCCACCCATTTCCCTCTTGGGGTGGGGTGGGGGGTGTAATAGCACACTTATGGACGCCTTGAAATTTGGATACCTTCAATGGCCTCGTTGATTGACAGCCTTTCGCCCATTGGGTTGGCGCTTGAACGGGAGACCACCAGGAGAGCCACGAAGGCTGCCTGGAGGAGGAACTTGAATTAGATGCCTCGGGATTCAGCCTCACGCCTGTGTTGATGCTGAGAAGCTTGCCCGGATGCAAGGTGAAGAGATCAAGAGTCTCAGGCTGAAGGGAGATCTTGCCTGTTACTTAATCTCCCTTGCTACAGGTAGTCCACAATTAGAATAAAATATAGAATAGAATAGGCAATAGAATACAGAATAGAATAGAATAAGAGAGTTAGAAGGGACCTTGGAGGTCTTCTAGTCCAACCCCCTGCTCAGGCAGGAAATCCTACAGCACTTCAGACAAATGGTTATCCAACATCTTCTTAAAGACTTCCAGTGTTGGAGCATTCACATCCTCTGAAGGCAACTTCTGTTCCACTGATTAATTATTCTAACTGTCAGAAAATTTCTCCTCAATTCTAAGTTGCTTCTCTCCTTGATTAGTTTCCACCCATTGTTTCTTGTCGTGTCCTCAGGTGCTTTGGATAATAATTTGACTCCCTCTTCTTTGTGGCAACCCCTGAGATATTGGAACACTGCTATCATGTCTCCCCTAGTCCTTCTTTTCATTAAACTAGACATACCCAGTTCCTGCAAACGTTCTTTATATGTTTTAGCCTTCAATCCCTTAATCATTTTTGTTGCTCTTCTCTGAACTCTTTCTAGAGTCTCCACATCTTTTTTACATCGTAGTGACCAAAACTTTCAAAACAATTGAGACTAATTTTTGCCCTTGTTGAGCAGCACTGTTGTTAGGTGAGTTTTGCCCCATTGTAGCACCTTTCTTGCCATAGTTGACACCTGAAGCACTGCGGTTTTTAAGCTAGTAACATGGTTGTTAAGTGAATCTGATTTCCACATTGAATTTACATGTCAAAAGGTCGCAAACGGGAATCCCATAACCCTGGGACACTGCAGCTGTCATAAATACATTCCAGTTGCCAAGGGTCCAGATATTGATCTTGTGACCATGGAGATGCTGCAACGGTTGTTACGTGTGAAAAGTGGTCATGTCACCTTTTTTCAATGCTGCTGTAATTTCAAACGGTCACTAAATGAATGACTTGTAAGTTGACTACCTATATAAGTTTCCCATAATTCTCAATGAAATCATTGCCCTCTCTAATGGAGAAAGGTGTATAAGGCCCTGTATTTCCGCCCCTAACATTGGTACTAGCCTATAAATTTCATAAAAATAAATAGATCAGAGGTCCCCAAACTTGGCAACTTTAAGACTTGTGGACTTCAACTCCCAGAATTCTCCAGCTAGCATAGCCATAGAGTTGAAGTCCACAAGTCTTAAAGTTGCCAAGTTTGGGGACCCCTGAAATAGATGAACAAACTTTACTGTTTTTTGTTTTTTTTAAATTGGCGTATTATAATGTTGTTTTAGATATAACCTGCGCAGTGAAAGCTGCAACAGTTACGTTAGAGTATCCTAAACTTGATTTGGATTTCTCTTGGGATTGGAGTTGCATATTGGATGAGATGTTTTATCATTTAAAAAAAGCAGGTGTGAATATGGCCATTAAGAAGATGTTTTACCTTCTTAATGAAATAGGAAGGAACTTATTCCCTCATCCCTCTAAAGAATAGAATAGGATAGGATAAGAATAGAATTAGACTAGCTAGAATAGAATAGAATAGAATAGAATAGAATCAGAGTTGGAAGGGACCTTGGAGGTCCTCTAGTCCAACCCCCTGCCTAGACAGAAAACCCTACACCACTTCAGATGAATGGTTTTCCAACATCATCTTTAAAATGTCCAGTGTTGGAGCACCCGCATCTTCTGGAGGCAAGTTGTTCCATTGATTAATTGTTCTAACTATCAGGAAATTTCTCCTTAAGTTGCTTCTCTCCTTGATTAGTTTCCACCCATTGCTTCTTGTCTTACTCTCAGGTGCTTTGGATAATAATTTGATTTAAAAGTAGGGGAAAGAGTGAGATAATGGATAAAGTGCTCATCCTTGATTTTCTGTCTTATATATGAACCTCTTCAATTTTTGGAGTGCCAACCCCAACCATATTAAGCATTCTTGAGCCCAATAAATGAACATTTTTGCCAGATATGAAATTCTTTCTTTGCAGTTCAGAGGAGGCCATGTTACTCCTTTGTCAAGCTTATATACTTCCCTACCAATCTGAAATGTGCAGATGGAACAAATGGGTTGATTGCACATCTGTAACATCCAGAGACAGAGGTTCTCAGAGTGATAGATAGGAAGGGCCTTACAAAAACCCAAAATAGAATTGTTATGTAAACCAGTGGTTCTCAACCTCTGGTATGGGGTTCCCTGAGGGGGTCACAATGTCATCACGGGGGGGGGGGGTTGCAAAGCCTTGAAATGTTGTGAATTAAATCTGGGTGTTCCGTGGCCATGGTCTGTGGCCACAAAAGGCATTTAAAGAGAGTCCGTGGTGAAGGAAAAGGTTGAGAACCACTGATGCAAACAATATAAAAACCCACACTAAAGCTAGCACAATCTTCTTATATATATAAAGTGTGTCTGTGTGTGTCTGTGTCTGTGTGTTCCAGTTAACCAAACTTGGTACACAAATGACTTACTCTCTGGGAAAAAAATACTGTGGGGGTAAGACACCCCTAACACCCCTTGGGATGTGTGTTCTGTTAACATACAGCCTGTTGTGCCTTAAAATGGCTTCTACTGTACTGTAAAATGGCTTCTACCGTACAGGGCAGCGAACTTGCCATGTTAACGGCTTCACAATACTCCACATGGGGCTCCCTCTGGTAAGCGGGAAAATCCAACCATCGAAATTAAGTTTGGTCAGAACATTCTCCCTATAAATAAATATCTGAACAACACCGGGTTATCGGCTAGTAGAGAAATAAATACATTAAGCAGCGACACTGATCAATACTGTATCTTCTGAAATTATATGGGAGATAGAGAAAGGAAGGGAGGGGGAGAAGTGACGAGAGAGGAAGAAGGGGAGAAAGAGAGGAAGGAAGAGAAAGAAGAAGGGAAGAGAGAAAAAAGGAAAGGAAGGAAGGAAATCCAATCACAGTAAAGCAGTAACACCCCTTCGGGGTTTTTTGAAACGTTGATAGAGTTTCTCAAATGCTTTGGAAAATAAAAGAGATGATATCAGCGATCGAAAGGTCGTCACATAGGCACCAGTGGAGTTACGTTGGCGGTGTTTTACAAGTGGAAGATACCTGCTTTTCTCTGGTAACAGGGCCTTCCTCGTAGGCTCCCCTGCCTGGGAAGTCAAGAGGGAGGAAAAGATGTTGGTTTGTTCTCTTCCTGATGGCCATGTCACGGCTTCTCCTCTTAATAACCAAGAAAGAAACCACTCAACTCCATTTCACAGAATTAATTGTACTTTTACTGATTATAAGTAATGAGAAGCCAAGCAAAGCTGGATCTGAGCAAAAGAGCGCGAAAGCATTAGATATCAATCAGGGGTGGGTTTCAACCGGTTCGCGGCGGTTCCTGCGAACCGGTTGGTCGGCGAACCCGGAAGTAAGTAACTTCCGGGAACAGCGAAGCGCCCACCCGCGCGCCCGCGCTCCTTACCCGGTTTTGACGAGTTTTGCGCTTCCATGCATGCGCAGGATGCATACAGCGCCTGTGCGATCCTCCAG